GGATGGTCCTTCTCCGCAGGGTGCTCAATTTTTGGAGACTGCCTTGTTGCATTTCGAATGGTGTCTCAGTCGAATTGAGTCGGTTTGGTTGTCCACAATATGACTGTAAAAAGATCGTCCTGGATATGCATTGGGAATAAGTGATCGGTGAGCTAGCAGCATCGCTCTTGCCGAAAACCCACCCAACGAAGGGTAAGACAAGATGTCAGAGTTTGGGTCCGGCCAGACTAGATATTGGGTAAACCGGTCCCGACCGACCAATAATTAGTTCGCCTATCTGACTAGACCTGAAGCCTCATTGACAACTTGTAAACTAAAAGTAAGTGGACTATGGATGCACGCGTGGTCAGGTTCCCAGAAGACCGCTCAAATTGTAGATGCTGATCACATGAGAGGACCTCCACATCCAAATTTCTCCTTACTACTAAGACCTGATAAGTCATCCATCCACACAGTAGAATGGACGTTTTCTGGGAGTTGTCTACTAGTTTCTCCTTTCGCCTGATCGCAGAGTTTCCATCAGGACGCAAGTGTAATAAATGCGACCATTTGGGCAGACCTGAGGTGAAAAAACTACTGAGACAGAGATGTGGGATAGTTCTTCTGGAATCCACATTTATGGATATAATAAGGAATGGTAAGAAGCCATATGCATTTTCAGGAAAATGCCCCTTACTGAGTTCTTTTGCGTAATCGAATCCCAACATAAGCCTACATCTCATGCAAGATATCTGACGGGTTTCAAGCGTCTACGGCGCTACCTGACTCAAGAACTTTCAAGGGTGGGTCAATCGACCTAAAAAAAACCCGGACAGCTATGGGATAATCGAGGCGTCAAGCAAAGCCAGTGACATCACCCAACCACAAACACTCGTATTTTTGGATGTCCTGTGAGCGTTAGTCGATCACTGAAAATGCGTCTCCCTCTAATGTCAAATTTTCACGTCCTTTCGCGCTCAACGACATACAAGGCTGATGAGAGCAAAACACGAGGCATTTGCTACCCATCTTTCACTTCGACTCATCAGAATATTTATACAACCACGGGATCTGTTCAAGCGAGAAAGATGATTTGCTTGTGCCCTATGGAGATGTTTCCTGACTTCCTCCGAAGGTGCTATCCTGTGCTATGTTTCCTGATGGAACTAACAAGTGCAGCCTCTGGAGTTTGAAACATTCAGCGAACTGCCCGTATCGTTCGCCATCTTCACCTGAAAGACCGAGTTGCAATCTGTATTTTCTTGCAAACGGGCCCAGTTGTTTCCTTTCTGAATTCCTATCTGTACATTCCTTGGTTTAGTGGACACGATCCAGGATGCCTGCTTCGGTAGTTCGAAGACGGGTGCCACCCCGTACTGGATGATAAAAATATGATAAGCCGCCTACTTAACAATGGGAACATCGTGGCCGGGACACCGTCGTGGGTGGAATTGAAGTCCCTTCCAAGAACGATTCATGGTCTTTTATCTTGATTTCTACTAAACAGCGGACTCCAAGGTGCATGAAAGATTTACATGAACAGGAACAGTGCCATAATTCTGTAAACCGCCCTTGACGTGGTAGTTTCCATTTTAAAAACTTTCGCCACGTACAATGTCCTATTGGCAAAACCCGAAGTCAAACGGAACATGACGTAATCATTGAAAAGCGCCTCTACATCTGTCCAAATTGACCATTTTGGTAGTCTCAAGGTTGATCAAGGCATGCGAACTAATGAAATCTGTAGTGCTCCAGTGTCTACCATTCGGCTTGCTTGATGGCAAAAACTGTAAAGTGGTCGCTAATTTTCTTCGATGGATTAAGAGACTGGTGCACTAAACCCCGGGGCGCTTTCCGTATATCACAGCAATTTACACTAAATGTCGTAAGATATTTAGTTATGTTATGCCGGCATCAATCGCTGTACCGAGGTCGAACGGACGAACACTTAAACAAGATAGTGCGTAGTCCGCGGTAACAGTGAGACAAAAACTGCGTACAGTTCCTCAACTTCCGAAGGTCAATTGGGTAAGACGATTTTCGGTAATGATATAGACGCTAGTGCGCTCACCTTACCGCATAATTACAGAATCTCACAGAGTACTGTTTACTGATTCCGAACCCCAATCAACAACTTCTGATACTTATTAAAAGGCAGAGGCTGTTTGAACACCTTTCTTCTAATTTCGGGTATTTGGTGCGTGGAGGAACATTCTCCCGGTCGGTTCTTCACGCCGCACCTGGAACCCAATTCAGATGATACTTGCATTCTGCTTACTGTGGATTCTCGCACTGAAGAGCTTGATTCGCAGGATCCGGAACTTAAAGAGCATTGGTGTGTTTTTGTGCCCCTGTGGTGAACAGAAGAAACCGAACGGCTAGAGCAAGCCCGACCCGGAAAAATTGAGCAGAAGCACCGATCCTGTGTAGTAACCCGTGGGAATGCCATTGGTCTAAACAGAGTTCATTGATGCCTGCTGCTATGCCCGCTTCCTGAAAGACCACATCTACCCCTCTGTTGTCGTACCGCCGAAAAACTTCAAGCCCATTGGAGTAGAGTCCGGTTACCATGTGATGTGAGTGATGCAGGTATGTGGCCGAGAGAACACCGTACGACGGGCATTAGGAGTGGTACTACAAAAGGCCCTCCGATGCATCCTATGACCAGTTCATTGCTTCGCCAGAGTTAGCCTGATGATGCGTGCTACTGTTGTCCATCCTTGTGTTCACTAATCTTTTGTACTTCGGCCGTCTGCCTTCTAAACCTGCCACGCTCTCACCCCATCCAATGCCTCCCGAAAACATTTTTATTGCGACAGCTACTTTTTCGAAGACTCAGGTCGGTAACCGCCGTAAGGGTTTCTTCTTAGACTGCTTCCGCAATTTCCCGAGCTCCCCAAGCATACAGAACGGCCCCCGAGTCTTGGTGACGACATTTCTACTTCCACTCAACAAGTGGCTGTGCTGAAAGACGTCTGTGCAGCACAGCCGATCTCCCAAATTATTAGACAGACAAAGAAGCGCTCACTCTGCTCCCTACTAAGGACTGTCAACCCGTGCCGATGTGGAGGTTAAATGTAAAGACCTTTGCGTCCGAAGCCTTCCACCCACTAGGTACGTTCTGCCGCCAAGCCTACGGTCTTCTTGGTTTGCGGTGTGCACTGAGCTGCTGACGTCTTGATGTGAGAGGAGTGTGTAGGTAAGGCAATCGATATATCACTATGAGGCAGGCATCTGGCAAACTGGGATCAGTACTCACCTTATAAAGGGAGGTTTTTAGCGGAGAGGATATCATAGGGTATTGCATACCTACTGCCGTTTTCAATGGCTGATTCGCACTGGGTTTGGTGACTCCGACTACAGGGCCTCAAGATATACAAGGCACATGAAATGCATCATGCCTCATTAGCAGACGGTTCAGTTGTTCGGGCAGGTTGTCAAAATATGGCGGAGGCGGCTTGGGAACAAGTATAAGATGTATTCCTTTGTCTCGGTATAGCTGATGATTCAAAAGCCACCGTTGTTGGATGGGGAACCAACCTGGAAAAAACATCTATGAATAATATTTATTATTGCTCATAACCGGCTGGCATCTAAATACGTAGCAAAAATGGGTGCAGGAGAGCTTCATCGCCTGGTGGAACGGGGACGGGGATTTACCAGCACACAGAATTAATTTATTTAACGTAGATTGAGCTAACCCTGTTTGTTTCAAAAATGACAGCGCAACCTAGCAGGTCGTGGTCCCACATGCCCCAAAGCGAGGCAGAAGTATACTTGGGCACTCGATAGATAACATTCAGAACGCAGACGTCGACTTCAAGGATTTCCAATCAAACGCGGTTGCATGACGTATAATAATAGATTTATTTCTCAACTTGTAGGGAATGTGTTGATTAAGGCATAATCCGGCCGTTACAACCAGAACGCAGAGGGCATTAACACAACGGGGATGAAGGTACAACCAACGAGGTACAGTTGTTATGCGAAAAGTCAGCAGGTTTGTGGAGACGTAAGAGTAGAACATGAGGTAGGATCAGTTCAAGATGAAGGGGTTGACTTGAACTAAAACTGAAAAACCGCTACTGGCTATGAGTAACCTTAGGTGGTTGAGTAAAATGGCCAGGTTCAAAAAAAGCAAAAATGGACATGGACATGAAAAAATTCTAACTGGGGAGAAATGGCAGTTTTCGTTTCAAAAATATGATTTACACTCAAACTAAGTGAACTCGCTGGTGTAACTGTTGTACGGAACTAAGGAGTAAAAGATGTCTTCGAATGGGAGATAGTATTGAGGAGTCGACCGAAGGAACTGAGTAAATAATAGCTTTGAGATTGTGGAAAAGGCGAACGGAAAATGCAGTAGAGAACCTATATGTTTGACTCCAAACGAAAGGTTCAGTGGATTGGAACGAACTCGCCTTAGAGGCGGCCGGGGCCGGGTCAACTATTTGTTCGTAGTTGCAATTATATGCTTCAGTGGGCAGGAGGTAACGTTCGATGATAGGGGAAGTGTATCCAGACTGCCGGAACATCATTGTACTGATATAATCTGGTTCTTGAACAGCCCCAAAGGGACGTCAAAGTTGCGGCAATCGGACGGGGGACGTTGGCGGCTGGATCAGGTTTAGACGAGGGGATCGGCACAGACACAGCAAGGCCGAGAACCTTCTGTGTGGCGTGCGCCAGTGTGTCTGGTTGGTGTACCCGGTGTTCCGGGCGACCGTCTGCGCTCCCCAGACCGTTGCTATTCACGTTACTAAAATAGACCACCCCAAATCGGACGTGCACAATTCACTTGCGAATGATGCACAAAAAGTGGGTGAAAACGGTGGAAATCAACGTTCCACCAAGTGAACATAGAAAGAAAGCCACCTCCGAGAAGACGTACTCTTTAAGTAAGTAAGATATAACTGATGAAGCAAGACGAAGTCCTCATGCTTTTGGGTAGAAATGGGGTGAAAACGGTGGAAATCAACGTTCCACCAAGTGAACATAGAAAGAAAGCCACCTCCGAGGAAATGTACTCTTTAAGTAAGTCAGATATAACTGACGAAGCAAGACGAAGGCCTCATGCTTTTGGGTAGAAATGGTGAGCCCAAGGGTGACCAGATAGCTGCAGTTACAGCCTACGGGTTATACCATGCACCTCGCCAGCGAATTTATTGCGTCCAAACTTTGCAAGACGGGTCTTTGATTAGCCTCTAACCAACTTATTGTTTAAGAAGGAGGACGTTAAAAAAGTACTTCCTACGGTAAATCCCACTTGAATCTCTTGGCCAGATGAGGTGCATCCAGCGATCCTGAATGAAGCATTGCTAAATTTGGCCAGTCAATTTTCAGTCACCCAAGCAGGCGCTTTCGCCCCTGCTTGTAAAAAGTGCTACTCACGTTACTTAAACTGACAGCTACAGATCTATTATCTTCACCAATATATCATGCCAGGTGAGTTAGGGCATCCTGGAATACGGCTTTCTTCAATATCCTATAACCAGCAAGTTGATCCACATCATGAAAAAAGAAATCATCCTACACATTTCCTGCGTGTGAATGCCTGCTGATTTTCATGGACAGCTCAAAAGGCCAAAAGCCTCACATCAAGGGTCACAGTTATTAGTTGATCCACATCATGAAAAAAGAAATCATTCTACACATTTCCTGCGTGTGAAAGCCTGGACAGCTCAAAAGGCCAAAAGCTTCACATCAAGGGTCACAGTTATTGAGCTCTCAAACCGTTCAAATGTGTTCCAAAAGTTGCACTGCTAAAATTTGACCTTTTTTGGTGTTCATGGGAAAAAATTACGCCAAATTAAAACTTTCTCTCTCGTTAAAAAAATTCCAATAAAATTCGAATCTATCCACTCGCCTTCTGAACCGGTCGCTGACCGTTGGTCAGAAAAGTTGAAAGTGAAGTTAAAATTTCTGCGCAAAATATTGCTTTTTGTCTTCTGCGTGCTCAAAGAGAAAATCACTTCAATCTCCATTTTGTCACGGTTTGTCAGGGGATATCTGCTTTTCATCCACCATGACATTTGCTAAGGCGTTAAATGAATACATGACGGATAACTGTGTGTTATTTGTGCGTGTTACCTACAACCAGTGATCTTCTGCGTTAAGGTGGGCATACTACAAATGCAGCAAGCGCTCAGCAAAATTGACAGAAAGTCGATGAATCCGAAAAAGCTAGAAATCTGAGCGTTTTGATATTACCAAGTATTACACGAAACCTGATGCATCTTTTTTAAGGAGGCAGAGGAACAATCAGCTATTATTATCTTGAACACAACCATGAGGTATCCTAGTTTTTGTGCGGTCGGCTTCCTGTAAAATGATGGCTAACAGAAGAGGAGTTTGATGCAGGCACGGCTCTGCTGAAGTATGGGACGCCATTGCGTGAAGTGGTCCAGTCTGCAGGCGATGGATTCGGCAAGCTCCTTTCCACACATGACATATACCACAACCACCAGGGGTGTCGGTCGTCTCTGTTGAGTGAGCAAAGGATAGTTGGGTATGTTAAAGTGGATGATATGACTTCGCTCTCGGTAAAATTCGGGAGTCTGAACGTGTGTTTGTGCTGTAGTCAGGGGAGTGCCAATATGGCCATAGGTGCATCCCCAGATGGCAGCAGACAGCGCTGTTTCGACGCATCCTGGATGTACTAAGTATAGATAAAACCCTAGCTGCAGGTTAATTTGCGCGCCATCTAGGTTCATTAAGCTGTATGCTATGACTGAGGATGTAATTATCCCGGCATCCTTTGCCAGTTACAGTGGAGAACTCTTCTAAGGCTGACCACAGAACTTGACTGTTGGGCATAGGTCGTTATCAGCTGTAAGCAGTACGTCCTTCAAAACTCACTCACGGTTTGTCCGGAGATTGACAATGATTCTATCGCGTTGGAATCTCGGAATAGCATTAGCAGAACACATAATCCTTTATTCGCTCGATCAATCAGGACAAACATAGCAAAACTTAGTTACAGGGAACCACTTTCACATCCTTCGCGCCACAAGCATATTGTAGGCTCCAGAAAGCTCAACGAATTTTTTCAGCTGCAGAAATACTTAGAGCATTCGCTTATTATGAGCGATCTACGTTTTACCTAAATCTTATTACATTGGGCACCATTAACCCAATCGATGGTAATCCATGACTTTGAAGATTCCCCGCTTAAACAAGTCCTCCATGCAGATAATTCGCAGAAGCGATAACCTTGAAAACTCCACGGTGTTCGTGAATACTGAGTGACGCATTGGTCAAAATTTGCTTATAATAATAAACTTAACCGTTTTAATTCCCAAACCGTGTGGACTATGCCAATCCTGAGGCATCTACATAAGGGTCACTGCCATCCATTAAACTGGGGATGTGCCAATCTTGGGCCTTTGTCGTGCGCGGTAAGAATGGATCACATATTTGGAAGCTGTATATCAAAACGGAATACGGTGTCTGATCAGGTTCACCCATGTCCTTGAGAAATCGCAAGAAATCCCGCCGAAAAATATTCGTTGTTTCTGGGATGATTCACAGTATTGCTCGCGGGGAAGTAGACGGCTCCGTGAAGACTGCGGAGGCGAACCCTGCACAAGATGCAACCGCTAGCAGTGACGTTCAGCAGTCTCCCGTACTTTCAAACACACAAAAAGGAAGTCAGACAGTGAACGAAGTTGTTGATGTTGATAACAAACTTTCTTTGCTCAACCAGTATCAAGTGCTACCCATTCCGGATCCGTTGACTGCTAAGGCTATCCAGCTCTCTCATGCCACGACGTCTTCAGTGGGCGGAAGAGTAGACTGATCACCGTGGCGTCGACCTGTAGAAAGAGTACGAGAAACAACTGGCATAATCTGTTCATGTTTCTGTGGTCAAAAAGCCTGAACACGAGCCGCCTTATGCAGGTTGGCTACGCTGAAATGAAAGGAAACGAGTATTTGGGCTTCTGATCATATTCCCTCACTGAATGCCGTACAGCGGGTGTTGGAGAGGGATGATAGCATACAAAAAACCTACTCAAACATCAAGTGTATATCAGACGGTCGCGCCACAGAGGCGTCAAACCTGGGCTATAGTAGTCCCAGATGAGAGGCGGAGACAAGTTTCCGCGTTGCGGCAGGTAAGTCACCCCCCAACATTATTGTCAACCTGATGGTAGTTATGGACCCTTGTGCTCTTAAAAGAACGTTAACGCAACAGTCCGTGACTTCAGGTTTTAGTTTCCACTTCACCGTCACACCCCACTCGACTGCCAACGACAGCGATGCTCCGTTCAACGTATGAGGAATTACAAGAGTTTATTTTCCTGACTGACGACAAAGATGAAGCGATGAACTCCTCACTGAGTGCAACAGCTATACCCAACGACAATGTACCAGAATTCCTACATACACTGACTAGACAAATCATGGACCAACTGGTAGCCCACACAGTTACAAAAATAAGGCGACTGCAGTCAAACAAGCCATATAAACTTCGCTAGATCTAAAAGCATCTGGCAGGCTTCAGAATGCAATCTTCCGCGAAAGCGAGTCTCTTGATAGTGTTATCAAAACGAATACTCTTTGGTGGGTCGTTCGATGCACAAGCGAGTCGATAGGACCTCACAGAAACGCAACGGCGCAAAAAAACAATAAAAAAACCATGGTGTTCATCGCGAGCAACATCAAATCCCGGTGTCAGCGCACTAGCTAATGGTGGCAGCCATCGAACTTTTCATCCATGATGGGAAAAAAGTCCCCGGAAGGCAAACGGTCCGCACAAACAGGACGCTCATGGTGCAAAATGCCCATGCAATCGGAAACATCAAGGCACCCAGCAAGCAAGCGTGCTATCGAGGCTTCCTCGTATTCCTGGACTCAAACAAGGCGTTTAACTATCAAGTCTGTTAACATCCCTGACAGCGAATCTCTTGACTTCTCAACTTTGGATGCATCAGTGGTATGTTGTAGTGGTTGTCCGAAACTGCCTCTCTTAAACAGACGCCGCAATTTGATACATTGCCGTTGCCTTAAATTGCCTCCCATAATCGCTCCTCCAGAAACCTGGTTGGCAACAGAAGTCTTTGACGCGGATATCTTGATAGAACGCTTCTTGATTTTCCGAGCTTACTCGAGCTGCAAGACGGCAGGTGAGTATGCTTTACGCTTGGCCTCGTCCATCCCGATTTTCTCCGACACTACCCTATACCTTCCTTTGAAGCACGGTGGATTCAGTTTATGCTGCGTGGGACCAATTTGTTTCCTGTCGGCCATTGTCATTCGCGTCTTCCGCAAAATGACCAGTTCGTCAGCCAACTCCTTGAGAAACTCCCCTCCAGCTAGCACTTCATACATCTCTGGATGAAGCTTCAGCTCATCAGGTATAGTGCACATTTTGATTTTGCGCTGACAAAAGTCGTTCAACAGGGTTCTTGGACTCACCATGCCGTCACACCCACAAGAAATTGCCCAGGACAACTGACACTCCTGACGGATTTGGGGTCACCGAATATCAGTTGATAAGAATATCGTTTGGTTTGTTTGCGGCACCATTCACATTCTGCCGCTTGATACCCGGTTTGGCGAAGGGACTCCAGAATAGTGCCGTGTGCGGGGACGATATCGTTGTGTACAGCAATTCGGAACCACAGCATGCAGTTCACTTGAAGGTTGTATTGAAGCGGATCCGTGAGGCTGGCCCACGGATAAATGAAGCCAAGACACAGCTCCGCAGTGAAAGCCTACTTCCTTTCATTGCACCAGCGAAAAACCCATCGCTGAACAAGTGTTAATTAAAGCCCCATTTGAGTACAGTGGCTACTGTCAGTTGACCCTTGGTATCGTCTGTTACTAGGCCAGAAATCCGGAACCTCGAACATAGATTCGAAACTTCCGACATGGAAATACGGAGCTGCTTGATCAATCTAAAATGGAACCAGCTTTGGCCAAAGAGTTATACAGTATCATTGTTCAGACAATTCACGGAGCTGACGAGATGCCCGAACTGAAAAGCCTGTGCGCAGCTGGATGAAAAAAGCTACTTAAATTGACTGGTTGTG